TTTGTTCATGCAGATAACTTTCCAGCAAAATTTTTGTGGTCTGCAGATAAAACTAGCATCTAATCCAGGGCCTTTTTTTCTGGGGGAATGCGCCAGAACAGAGTTCCGGAACCTCTTCAACAAAATTCTTTTTAAAATGTTTAAAAGTTCATGAGTTTTCAGTATACAGATTGAAAACTCCATTTCCCTCTTGAGAGTTCTGGCACCTCTTTTTTTTAAAAAAAGCCCTGATCTAATCCATCTTTTGATGCTAGTTTATGTATATTATAATGGATCTACTCCCCCCCCATTAATTATCTAGTTTTACAAAAAATGTACAGATTTGGGGTCTGTGTATTGATGATTCTACACTGTAAAATCGTACACTGTTTTGTCAATGATCCTCTCTTTACCTTTAAAGTTCAGAAATGAAAATGTTCACAAAATGGAACCAGATTCATTCATTTCCCTCTGCACTCTCCAGATTTATTAAGCAGCATTTATTATTGTGACAATATTCCCAGGGACTGGGCTACGTATAGTTTTAATTCATTGTTGGATGGAGAATAAAAGGCTTCATAAACATCAACTCTTTCTGTACATTCTCTTTAAATCCTGAATGCCTCCCTCAGAGTCCAGCTGTGGTATTTCCACTTATGTTTCACAACTGGCCTTGCTTAACATGTGATGGTTATGGCAGGAAGGGGAACCCTCAGCCTGCTTAGCTAAACTGACAGACACACAGAAAAAACCCCTCTTAGGTTGTTAACTGGTAGCATAGAGACCTGTAGGTCTATAGCAACTAGAGGGCCAGCTAAGGGCTATCTACCTCCAAATTTTCAGATTTTTTAACAAAATAAATGTGATTCTGTTCCTACTAGTAATAGATTGCCAGCATGGTGTCCTGGTTAAAGTGTCAAAAGAGAATCTAGGAGACTCAGGTTCAAACCTCTATTCTGTCACTGAAGCTCGTGAGCCATTCAATCTTTCTCAGCCTAACTTGCCGTCACAGGGTTACAGTTGCCAACTCTGGGTTAGGAAATGCCTGAAGAGGTCCCAGAGAGCACTACGGTCGGGGTCGCAACATCGTCTTGTGACCCCGGGCCCCAAAGAGGCCAGGCTTGCGGCCACGAGGGCTAAGTCCTTTTCGGTGGTGACTCCTATCTGGTGGAACGAGCTCCCGGAGGAGATCAGGGCCCTGCAGGACCTGTTACAGTTCCGCAGGGCCTGCAAGACAAAGCTCTTCCGCCAGGCTTTTTAATAGGAGCCGCCGCCACCACCACTACCATCAATGAGGGCCAGAACAGCAGCACCGCTGGCTGAGGCTGAGTGGCCAAGGAACATCGGGGGGCCACATCATCCTCCCTTTGCCCCAAGGGCAGGTGCAACAGGGAGAGAGGTGTTTGTCACGCAGGATCCTTGGGCGTCGCCCATTGTATTAAATTGTTTTAAATATTTTACTGTGTTTTTATCGCACTGAGTGCTATATTGTGAATTACGGTGCTGCATTGCACCCTATATTGTAAGCCGCCCTGAGCCCGTGTGCGGGGAGCGCGGGGTATAAATAAAATTAAATTAAAAAATTAAATAAATAAGATCTGGGGTTGAAGCCTGGAGAGGGTGGCGTTTGGAGAAGGCAGGGGGCTCAGCAGGGATGTGATGCCCTAGAGTCCACCCTTCTGCTTTCTCCAAGGCAGGGGCAGATCAACCATTAAGCAGACTAAGCACATGCTTAGGGCACCAGGGCCAAAGTGGGCACCACAAAGCTGGGAAAAGGGTGAAAAGCTTAGTTTGTATAGTATATTGTGTTATCATATGAATAAATTTTTGTATTGCTGCAACCTGCATTGTATATCTGGTCAGACAGGTCAACAACTAAAATGGACTGGGTCAGTGTGGAAAGGAGGGGGGCACCAAGACTGGTCAGTGCTTAGGGCACCAGTGAGCCTTAATCCGCCCCTGCTCCAAGGGAGTAGGATAAAATGGAAGAATGGTGCTGTAACTGCTTTGGAAGCACTATGTCAAGTGCATGAAAACATAAGGGAAAGTGTTCAAGCCGTTTTTCTCCCAAGTCATAGGGTGGGGGCTGCAAGATGGCTGCATTGAGCCATAGCCTTATCACTAGGTATGCCAGCCTCCAGTTTGGACCTGAGGTTCCCCTGGAATTACAGCTCATCCCCATACTAAACAAACAAGTTCTCCTGGAGAGAAGGGATGCTTCGGAGGGTGGACTCTATGGCATTGTATCCCACGGAGATCCTTCTCCTCCCCAGGCTCCATCCCCAGTTCTCCAGGAATTTCCCAACTTGGATCTGGCAGCCCTACCCCCCCCATCCCCCGCAGGTGGCCAGGGGGACGTGGCAATCCTATTCACTGCTATCTGCCCTACTCAATAACTTTCTCTCCTTTGCCCCTTTTCTTGGCTTTCCCCTTTACTAATTAATTAAAATCCTTTGTATGTCTGACTTTCTCCTGAGCATCTCAGGACCTCAGGTGGTTGCTGTGAGCTGCAGCAAATAAGAGCACTGGGCAGAAATTCTGAGACAAATTAATATTATTTATGAGTTGTCCCTGCTTTCAGAAGCAGGGATTTTCTCCTAAGACCAGGCAGGGCCACGGGAGCAGAAGGCGAAAAAGAGCACCCAGTCTCTTTCAGCCTGCCATCTGTTTTAGTAATTTGTTGTATGCTTCCCAGCAGCAGTGTGCCTGTGTGAAGGAATGGGAACCAAGCTTCTGAGCATGCGCATTAATGAATAACCACTGTCAAGCTCTTATTCTCATTGAGCAGGGGGTTAGATTGGCCCATTCCAACTCTATGGTTCTACAATTCTATATCCTCATATGCAGCATTAAGGCTCAGGTTCAATTGGGCCATTACATGTGGAATATTTGAGCAACACCCATCCAGGTGGTGGATTGCTAGTGGGCTAACATTGCGGGAGTGTGATCTGGCAAGTGTTCCCTCTAAGCTGAGTTAGTGTGAGCTAGCTCACAGTTTTTTTGCCTCCGGCTCACACGTTTTTGTCTTAACTCAGGAAGGATGGCTCCAGAGCAAACTTATATATGTAGTAGCCAAATCGCTCGCTCACAACTTTAATGCCAGTAGCTCACAAAGTAGGATTTTTGCTCACAAGATTCTACAGCTTAGGGGGAGTATTGGATCTGGCCTGCCAGCATCACATTTAAATCAGACCTTGGGCTAATGGGCTGAAAACGGCACCTTTGACACTTTCCCCTCAATGCAGAAACGGAAGTTCCGCATTTTACATAGCCTAGAGACTGAAAGGTTGTAATATGAGGTACTGCTAGGCCCTACCACCTGTCAAAAATGGCAATAAGACATTGGAAATAATCTTGCTGGGGGAGTATAAACAGAGGAGCCTTTTTCTCTGAGTATTATCTTCAGTTGGATGGGAAACTGGTGCATAGATATTAGTGCAATATTATGCACCTTGACTCAGAAGTTAGTCTGATTTTTTCCCATAAGGTTTACTCCCTGGTAAAGTAGGGTTCCTGTCTGCCTGCTTATGGCAGGAGGGCTCCAGGTAACTGGGGCCATTGCTAGCAGATGCTCACCTGATTAGTGGGCAGCGATCCTCCTGGGGAGAAAAATTAAAAAGAAAGCAAGTCCTTAGCTACTTACAGGAAGTTCTGACCAAAGGGTTCCTGGTGATTCTAGAACTACCTGGAGGAGTTATTCTGCCCACTCTGCAACTACCACCATCCTCCTTCTTTCCATGATGTACAAGTTCCATTCCCCCCTCTTTTTTTTTACAAGAGTCTTAAGTCTTGTGATATGAAACTATCACTAGTCTCAGATGGTTGGATTTAAAAAAACCCTAAAACAATGGGGGGGGGAGTTTAAAAGGAGCTGCATGAGGTTTAGTTCCCTGCTGGTACTGACTTGAAAAGGGGATCAGAGAGAAGGCAAATCGCAGCGTCCCCAGTGCAAAAAGAAGAAGAAAAAAGAAAAAAGGATTTCAGTGCTACATGCAAACAAAATAAAGGGGGGGGATCATCAGCACGGAATGAAATTGACATAAGATGGAAAGAGAGAGAGAGACACTGGGATGGGAAGCATAAAGATTTGAAAACATTTTTCCCTTTAATGCTTTAGTGAACAAAGTTTGGGAAGGTGAACACCACATGAACCTTCTGTGAACTGCTGAACTTAAGAATCACTTGAGATCAATCCATTTGGAGGAAGAGTACAATCCACACAGGACAGGCGTTAAAAAACTGCCAAGATAATGACCAGTGTGAAGGATCAAATTAGAGAATCACAAAGAAAAAAACATACAAATTTGCAAAGAAGGGCAGGAAAGTAGTGTTACTATGCAGCTGTGTTCCGTAAAAATACACCCCTCCCCCATTTTTCCCAGTTTAGTGGCACAAGGCTGAAAAAGCTCTCCAGAGCTTCTGCCAGGGGACTCCTCCCCCATACAAATTGGAGTCCTGTGCAAAGCGAGGTGAAGTTGCAGCCAACTTTGCATAGGAGTGAGTGTATGCACACACACAGTTGCCAACAATCACAGCTGCAATGCCAGTATTAGTGGATATTAAATTCTACTTCTCATAGATCATATTAATAATGTGTTTTAATAAAAGTGTGTAATACTATTTAATGACCGATTCCATTGTTTTTAGGTAAAATGCTGTCAAATGATGTGACAAAGGGAGAGAAGAATATAACATCTTGGACAGAATTTGTTCTTGCTGGTCTTCTGTATCATAAGGCACCCACCGTGTTTCTGGGAACGAATCTCCTAATGTTTCTCATTGCTTTGTTTGGGAATAGTCTCCTTCTGATCCTAATTAAAATGGACTCTGGGCTGCAGACACCAATGTACTTTTTCCTCAGCCAGTTAGCTTTCATGGACCTCTGCCAGGTTCTCTCAATTGTTCCCCAAACCATGGTAAATTTCATAACCCAGAAATACAACATTTCACTGTATGCATGTGTCACACAGATTTTCATCACACTGACCTTGGGAGGAGCAGAATGCCTCATCTTGGCTGCCATGTCCTACGACAGGTATGTGGCCATATGCAGGCCTCTGCAGTATCCAGTCCTCATGAGGAGAAGAATATGCTACATCATGTCAGGGGGTGTCTGGTTTTGGTCTTGTGTACAGGCTTTGACATGTTCTCTTTACGTCCTGCCTCTTCCCTACTGCAAGTCCAATGTGATTAAACACAACATGTGCGACTACCCAGCCCTTGTTCAGTTGTCCTGCTCTGACAATTCTGCATTTGAAAAAACAATTTACATTGGCGATTTCCTGGTATTTCTCATCCCGGTCTCAATCATCCTTGCTTCCTACATAGCCATCCTCCTGCAAGTCTTAGGACCTCGCTCCTCTAAGAGAAGCCACAAGGCCTTGGGCACCTGCCTGTCCCACTTGTGCGTGGTGGGGCTCTTCTATGGAGCATCCATGTTGACCTACATGACACCTGTATCCTCCTATTCAGCACTAAGGTCCATGATTAACACTCTGTTCACGACTATTGTGCCTGCCACAATGAACCCTTTCATATACAGTCTGCGAAACCGGGATGTGTCAGCAGCACTGAGAAAACTCTTTGCAAAATATACATTGCATAAGTGATTTGGCTGGGCACAGAAAATAAATGGAGCTGTTTGTGTAATCTATGAGTATGTCGAAGGGCTCAATGCAAGAGAAAGCAATCTACAGTAAAAGAAGCAAAGTTTGCTTAATTTTCATTACCATAACAGGGAACTGCTGTGGATTCAGAGAAATAAGGTACTTTGAGGTGCTTTGGGAGAGTTCCTGAGAACTCAACTGCCAGGGAGACAGGATAGACAGCTGTTGTAAAACATGATGTGAGGTATGTGACATTTAACCCAATTGGAGAGAGTTTTGCGGTATATCCCGGGAGGGTTCCCTAAATCTGGATTGTTGAAAGTTCCTGTCAAAGCAGGCAGGAAGGTCTCAAAGGTGGGATCTTCCTTTGTTCTTTGTTCAAATGCTTTCTCTAAATGCTGGGACCACATGCTGAGACCCAGACTTCTCTGCAAGGGAGCAGTAGGGGGTCTGGGGGTATAAGTGGGGGGAAGCAACAGTGGGAGAGCTTCTAGTGAAATGCCAAACCACTTCAGAGATGGCTCCCTACCAGTGGGGAAAGGCTGTGTGAAATTCCTCAGTGTGTTTCAGTTCCTACTCACATACCTACATCACTTGCATCTGTTTAGCCAAGCATGGATGAGGGTTTTTTAAAAAGATAATTGGAAAGCTCTGCCATTTGTAATTGTTCAAAGGCCACCTTTACCAGTGTTCTCCAAGGTTATGTGGGAGACCAGATTTGTTAACTTGGAGAGGTGGCATAAAAAGAAAGAATGTGCTTTTACATGTGTGCGAACAAGCAACATGCATGTAAGAACACAGAGACCCAGGGTGGTTTTGTGTCAGCGACAGTAATGACAAATGTATCCAGTTTAGTGAATTCACATTATTTCCCATGTCTAATAGTATCATATCCTATATATATAAAAGCCATGCATATTGGCACTTTCTGGTTCTCATTGGCTGTGCTATGTGCTCCATCAGCCATTGGCCCATCAACCACCATTCAAGAGTACCCATGTGCCATTCAGGTCTGCCAGACCAAGGTACTTGCTGGGGAAGCTGAGTGGGTGATTTCAAACCACTCACAGACTGTCTCACAGGGTTGTTGTGCAGGTCAAAAGGGGGAGAGGAGAATGATGTGAAAGACTGTTCTCTTCCAAGGTAGAGGATGCAGGGAGAGGGAGGAGATGGAAAGCTGAAGTCAGAGGGGCTGATAAAGGTAGGTGGATGGTTGGTTGGGAAGGAGATAGAGTTCCCACCTCTAGGTTGGGAAATTCTTGGAGATGTGAGGAGTGGAGCCTGGAGGGGGTGGGGTTTGAGGAGAGCTGGGACCTCAGACAGGCACAATGCCATAGACTCCACCCTCCAAACCAGCCATTTTCCCCTGGGGAACCATTGTTGCCAATACCCAGGTGAAGGCTGGAGACCACTCAGAATTAAAACTGCTCTTCAGATGGCAGAGATTGGTTCCTCTGGAGAAAACCTGCTGAGGTTGCCACAGCAAATTGACGCTGAGTGCCCAAGGCTGGGGCACCAGCCCAGAGCCTCTTTCTAGAACTTGTTGTATTTATTTCCACAACAGGCCTTATTTCTAGTGATGTTATAAGTGGCCTTAAACAAAATTCTAGAGGGAGAGCCATGTTAATTTGCTGCAGCATAAGAAAACAAGACTCCAGTGGCACCTTGAAGATCAACCAAACATAATCCAGCAAAAGATTTCAGGAGTCAGGGCTCACTTCATCAGATACTGAAATAAATTTCAAATCAAATTTATTATTATGGTTCATGACCAGCCCAAGATCAGTTACAGCAATGTACATGAATCTTATGAGTTTTAGGAAATTCACAATATTTAAAATTCCTGAATGGCCTATGCATTGTTAAAATCACAGAACAGATTGAACAAAAAATCTACATTTTATGATTCAGCTACATTCTGTATTTATTCCCTGCGAATTCTGCATGATGCTGCAAGAAATCTGGCACAGGAGAGTGTGAGTTGAGGATTTCTGTCTGAAAGGAACTTCCTCATAATTTCAGATTCAGAGCAGGCAGAAAACCTCCCAAGCAAGGGTACAATAATCTTCGTGCGGATTTCCTGGTAGAAATGGCAGTGAAGCAAAATATGCTCATTTGTCTTGACCTTCCCTGCTCCACACGGGCAAACCCTCTCTGCTAATGGGATCTTCCTATAACGTCCCTCCACTACCACAGAGGGGAGGATATTCCATCTAGCCATAGAGTAAGCCCTGCGGTGGTACAGGATCTCTAACAGCGATAAGTAGGCCGCCGGAATTACAACATAGCTAGTGTTCTTTGATGCCAGGAAATTTGAAACTCTGCTGATGTCTCCCTGCCTTTCAGTGTCCAATATCCTTTACTTGACCAGGGCTTTTGCTTGATCTAAGGCCATTTTAAAGAGAAACTCTGGGGAGAGGCCTAGCATATTCAATTTGTGACAGACTGCCTTTAACCAAGTGGATCGAAAGCTATCCCAAAGAATTAACAATGTAAGGTCTTGGGAGGAATGGTTTAGCTTAAGCCATAGATTAATAGATGCGAGGCTTACCCTAGCCTCTAATCTAATTATACCAGAATCTAGGCTCAGGCTTGCATTTAATACACATCTGGGGAATCGAAATACTGCTCTGTTATGTAGTGGGTTGCCGCATGGATAAATGACCGACGATGACGTGGTGCATGCACGCTTTATTTGGTACACAACAAGAACAAGGACAAAT